AGTACCCACAAATTTTATTTCATAAGTTTGTAGACTGGTGTTAGTGCATTTGAGCTATGATAGACTAAACTCTAGGTTAGGTCCCACTTTCGAGAAAATCGCCTTCAACTGCAGGTATTTTAGCGCCTAACGCGTTTCGGAATTTTAGTATATATATTTAAATAATCATATCTCAGTGAAAATGTTATTAAATTTAATCGTTAAAACTTTTAATYATAACCAAAAGTTATAAAATTCATGTGTAAAAATTTTGAGTTGATTTAAGTTAGTAAAAAATTTTTGGCGGCGCCCGATATGTACAGCTTAAATCGCAGCTTTCCCGAAGGTGAATTTGCAAGTTTTGAGGTGTCATCGAAAACCGTCTCGTAAAGTACCTAAAAATCCGAATTGATCCAAATAAATGTGATAATTGTTCATTGCATATAATAGTKGACTTTTACTAAGAAAATCAGGAAAATCGGTGATGGGTCAAATTTTGCCTTATCYGTTCTTACGCGGACAGCCTCTTAATTGACAGCTTGGTAAACACTGACCTTGAATACGTAGTTTTTGTGCTGGGCCTATGGGCACAGTACATTTGTTTTTGGTGAGTTAGGTGTGATCGGAATTTAGTGTTACGAATGCCATTGGTGGACCTCGTCGTGATTGACATTGGTGAAACACGAGGTGAAAATCAGGTTGAGATATGTAAGATCCGGGACACGGAGGAGGTGAAAGAGGTTGAAGATAAGTGGTTTTCGTGGTAAGAGTGCCTTCATCCAACTTACTTTCAACTTAATTTGGTAGTATTCTAAGCAGATAATTAGAAACTGGAGCTAAATTAGAAACTTTAAGTGCGATCTTTGTTTTTTGATACAACTCGAATTAGTTACGTAAACAAAAGATTGTAAATGGACAGGCCAGGAATTTCTACTGCGTCATTGATGTAAAATAGTACTCGCACGAGTTTTATATTATTTTATTAGCAAGAAAAATGATATTTGGTTTGATTAGCAAAACATTTATTTAAAGTCGAATATTTTAATGACAAAAACGTATTTCATGCCGTAAGCTTGAATGGGGGCGGGCCAGGAATTTCTACTGCGTCATTGATCTAAAATAGTACTATTGGTATTTACGAAAACAAGGAACGACCTAAAACCACCTGAAACCACCTGAAACCACCTGAAACCACCTGAAACCACCTGAAACCACCTGAAACCACCTGAAACCACCTAAAACGACCAGAAACCATCTTGAAGCCACCTGAAACCAGCTAAAACATTGAATCTCCATCGAGTTTGTCGTCCAGTTTGTGAATTTTATTGACTTTTATCGATCGATCGAGTGTTTGTTTTCCTTGGAAGAGATGTACTTCATGGTAGAATGTCATATTGTCGCTCATACTTATAGTATCCCATAGAAGTATTCCACACTTATACCTCACCTCTGCCTTGCTATGATTACCTATTTCTAGCTATGATCAACCGTCCCTACCTATGATCAACTGTTCCTAGTTATGATCAACTGTCACTAGCTATGATCAACTATCCCTTAGCTATGATCAACTATCCCAAGCTATTTTCAACTATCTCTTGCTATTTTCAACTGCCCCTAGCTTTCATCAACTGTCTCTAGCTATTTTCAACTATATATCCCTAGCTGTCATCAACTGTCCCTTGCTATGATCACAATTCGAACATTTTTTTTTACATATTTTAACGTGTAAATTTGTTAAACTTAACATAGGCCTATCTAGGGGGGTCAGGGGTGGCTGTGACCCCATTTTCAAAGCCAAAGATAAATCATCTGACCGTTGATGCAGTATGCGATAAGATGTCATAGTGACAATTTGGTATGTTGAGACCCCCACGCCCCCCCGCGTGACAAATCCTGGATAAGCCCCTGCTTAACGTAATTCAGCCATGTTGTTTGCAAGTTTTTAAGTTCATTAAACTATATAAGGGGAAGTTAATCTATATATAGGTACAGGAAACCATTAGTAGAGAATGGTGAAA